CCTCGCGCAGTGTTTTACTACACGGGAGAGGCGGCCGTCTTTAATAAGATGATTGAAGAGTCTGTCGCTAACCATAACCTCAATGACCACAACGACAACGAAGACGACGAAGCGTCACAGGAAGAGAGCGATGAACCACAAGAAGCCCACAATTGACCGCTACTTATATATGGTCTACGAATTGTCACAAATTGTCATTTGAATTATAATTGGATTTTATTTGTAATGAAATTAAACAAAATTATATGTTTCTTATTATAGATTTATAGGATTTCAAACACACTTTTGTATTACATTTTGTACTGAATTTTAAAATAAAACTTTTGAAACATTACTTTCATAATTAGATCATTGAAATTGAAATCTTTGACCAAAATTTATTTGAAACTCCGTTTTTATATTCAGAAGTTTTAAAGAAATTCTGAATAATTTATTCAAAAGTATAATTTATAAGTCAAATATGCAAATAAAAAAGTACCAAAATATAATTGAATTGAATTTATTTCCACAAAAATTACTTTAATATTTACAAAATAAAAATATTAAACTAAAAATAAGACAATCGATGGGAGTGTGGGTCCCATCAGACGAGGAGAACGGAGTTAATGCAGCCGTCATTCTCGGGATTGTTGGTGACCTGAGCGTATTTGCCCCAGACCACTTTGCCCGATGTGGTCACTAAACCCAATTCACTGATATTCACTTCAATCACTGTTCCTTTGGTGATAACACCCAACGATGTATACATCGGCGAACTCGGGTTCTTCTTGACGCCAATGATAGGCAAACTGAATGTCGCCCTCAGCTCCGGGTGAGTCACGTGAGCCGTCTTAAACCTCAAAGCCATCGGACGTATGAAGCGCTCAAACTTTGGCGGCTTTCGTGTGAAGCCTTCGCCGACGAAACACACTTTGGTTACCATTCGTTTCCAACACTTCTTCTTTCGTTTACCAGTTTTGATGGCTCTAAAGGAGGACAACAATGCCATTAAATGGTGGCTAAAGTGATCACTCGATGTCCGCTTCGATGGCTTACCTAAAGACCTCCATTTCGGAGACGGCCTTAACCTTAGGGATGGGAACTTCCCATTTGCCCGCCTTCTCCTTCCTCTTCTGTTTAATCATATTTGAGAGCACTTTAGCTCTGCTTTGGGTCTCTCTGTCGAGCAGATAGTGAGGAACGGCTCCATCGGTGACGGGTTTATCCACTTTCTGTTTCGAGTTCTTCTGTTCGTGAGCTTTGATAGTCTTCTTCATCTGAATCTTTTCAGTAAAGCGCTGTCTGTTATAGAGTTTGGCTTTAATGCCGCGCAATGTCTTCGCCTTCTGAGACACATCCCGAACACTTCTGGCCGTCTTCTTCCTCTTCCTCTCCTCGTGATCCAGACGTCGGCCGAACCTCTTGTGGAACAGCTCTATGTGTTCGTTCTGAGGCATTGTCTCGTCTTATGTCTGGTTGTCTTCGGTGTGGACTTCAATGGGCTTTAAATGACACCAAAAATACAATTAAAGAGCGATTGAATTGAAAACACGATTACAACCAAAACGTGTTTTTCTTGAGACACAATCGACGCATGCGTTCAGACATTGCATTGCATTTGATATGACATCTTGTGATAGGGTTTCAAACTTTTATTTCCAATGAAAAAAACTTTTTTATTAAGTTTTGGATTTTGTTTAAAAATGTTTGATTTATTTTATCGTTTATTATTAAATGATTCAAAGAATTTAGACGTAAATTTATTTCATGTATTTTCTATGGCTATTATTTGGGTCTTTTGATAACATTGTATTAGTTTTGATAAAATACTTGTTGTAATCTCAATACACTATCATTTAATACACTGTTAGTGAATATATTATTGTTTTGCAAACTATATTATAATTAAATAACATCAAAGTCTATATCGATAACGAATAACATTTAATAATGTTAAATAAACATTTCATTTAATCAAAAGTTAAAATAAATAAACTGTTGCCTAAAATAAGTGCTAAAATTTCATTAACATAACATTAAACTAGACTTTAAAAACAAAAAACCCTCTGAATGTCAATCAAAAAAAGAGAGACACATTTCAATGTTAACACTCAATATTAGACTAATATTTGGTATTTAAGATAATATTGGCAAACATTTTATGACACTTAATACTCTTTAGTTTAATAACAACACAAAAATTTAGTTTATATTTCATAATCAGACATAAAAAGTATTCAATTTAGTGTCTGTTTATTATTCTTGCGATTCAAACAAATGTAATTTGCTTTTTGTGTTCAAAAGAAATGCC